AAAGGCTTTTAACGAAGAATGGATTCATGTGGATGGCAAGGAGCGTGGAAGATTGTTAAATAACCTTGCTGATTTAATGGAACGTGATATCGATGAATTAGCTGCTCTTGAAGCTTTAAATAATGGTAAAGCTTTTACGATAGCAAAGTCTATGGATCTTCCCTTTACAATTGATGTTTACAGATATTTTGCCGGATGGTGTGACAAGATCCATGGCAAGGTAATTGGTTTTTATCTTACTAGGTTTACTTAAAGTCATTTAGTAAATTGTCACTTGTTTGGTATTTTATCTATTTATGATATTAGTGAAATGATATTTATATATGTATCTATTTTTTTTTCGTAGGTTATTGGAACCCAACACGATAAATTCTGTTACACTCGTCATGAACCAATTGGTGTTTGTGCTGCGATTATTCCTTGGAATTTTCCACTTCTTATGCAATCTTGGAAATTAGCTCCAGCTCTAGCATGCGGTATTTATAATAAAAAACATGTTAGTAAATGAAATTTAAAGTCGTCTACTAACAATAACTACTTTTTTTTCATAGGTAATACCATAGTGCTTAAGACATCTGAATTAACTCCTTTGACTGCCCTAAAAGTTGGCGCCCTATTTAAAGAAGCTGGTTTTCCAAAAGGTGTCGTGAATATTATTTCCGGTTTCGGCCCTACAGCTGGTGCTGCTATTGCTAATCATATGAAAATCGATAAAGTCGCTTTCACAGGTGAGATTTAAATTAATTCCAAGTTATGATGAAAATTATACTTATGTTTAATATTTAATTGTTTTTTCAATTTTCTTTCTTAGGATCGACAGCTGTAGGAAGATCTATATTAAAAGCATCCGCTGAAAGCAATTTGAAAAAAGTTTCTTTGGAATTAGGTGGAAAATCGCCAAATATTATATTTGCAGATTCTGACCTTGAAGAGGCTGTTAAATGGTCACATCAAGGAATCTATGCTAATCAAGGTCAATGCTGTTCTGCTGGTTCTCGTGTTTATGTTGAAGATTCTATTTATGATAATTTCCTTGAGAAATTCAAAAAGCATGCACAAAGCATCAACATTGGTGATCCTTTTCATAAAGATACTTATCAAGGTCCTCAGATTTCTCAACGACAATTTGATAGGTAATATTATATTGCGTATATGTAAAATAATATTTATGATATATATTATATATACATATATATTTACTTATATATTTACTTACTTATTTATATATTTACTTACTTATATATATTTACTTATTTATTTATTTATTT